CTTCAGACTAATTAATGAATCAAAACTAGACTCCATGATATTGATATAGTCAACGTATATACAATGCAAATTTTTAGATACGCTCCACAGCTGAAACTATTTTAAAATGCTCATTAGAACAAAAGCTAAATCGAATATGATCTATGTGGCTCTTAAGAGACACAAACTGATGTTCTCAAATGTGAGGTCTTCTTTGAATTAGTACTTAAAACTAGCTACAGACTTCACCTTTGGATTCACAGGGAATTATTAGTAACAAAGTACCTCCTTAGTTGTCCTAGAGAAAGATACAAATCTTTGAACCCGGTTTTGCCTGGCTGTATCTTTTCGTCCATGCCGTTGATCATTTCCTCTGCAATAGGAGATTATGAACCACAGTCCTAGCCTGAACTCACAGTCCTGAACTGACTGGAATTTATGTCTGAGTAAACATGCTTAGGGTTGCCCTGTATGATTCCCAAGAACAAACGAGAGCGGCTGTATTTGCCATGGCAATTCCAAAGAGCATGTGAAAGCTGTTTGCAGGAAATGATGCCATAGATTTATTATTAAAGTATGATCTGATTGATTCGGCTCTGTCATATTTGATGAAGATTTGGACTACTGCTAAAATATTTCATTCTTTTTAAAAATTTCTGTATTGTTTTGTGATGGGAACATTCATGGAACTTCATCAGTCTTTGAAACTAAATGCAATCAATTGTATTCAACTTAAGCTAGTTTATTTTATGGGCTGTGAGAATGACTGTGTTCTAATGCACAAAGTGAAACATTGGCAAGTTGATTTCTCAGTTACCATGTATCCTGACCTTCCCAGGGGAAAACAAAATCCACTTTTCATTTCACAGCAGAAATAAAATAGCGATACACAAAAGAGGTACAGCTCATCCATTGGCTGGGTTCTTGCATTGCCCATGTTAATTAAAAAGATGGGAAGTTTACAGCTTGCATTTCCTGTGTTGCCACCTTTGGCTATAAACCATCCCAGGAAGTTGATTTGGGCTTGTGCATTTCTGAAGTGCTCATATACTCTTAATAACTCACTCTTCCTTCCTTAGTATTTACTGCCCGCCAGGAAAATTGATTCAGTATGTAAGCATGGCAAAACTGATACTGTTTCCCTTCATAAAGATGGGCATGTGTACCAACAACTTCATCCAAACTGTAACAGACCAGAAACTACATACAATACAGGGACAATGCAGGTTCGTATACTAGATCAACATAAGTTCATACTGTAGACTGGTGACTAGCAAGATTCAAACCTAATGACCAGTGCATGGCTATTTTCCTACCTGCTACATAATTTCAGTGAAGCATTGCAGGGGTTCATGGAAGAAAGTGCCCCCTGGAAAAAATAACCAAGATCCAGTGTGGTTCAGTGACAGAAAGTTGAATCAGGGATCTGAATTCAATTCACGTTAACAGTTTGGATTCATTGTGTGATCTTTCACAGTTCAATATCCCCTAACCATAGCTTAGTTTCTGGAACATGGGAATGGTGACTTTCCTTGTAATCAGTTTGCAAATTTATTATTTAAATTTGTATTACATTATATAACTGGAAAAAGTGCAGTAATTAATGGCAGCTAATCTATGAATACTCATTCCTAACATTTTCCCTGTGTTTCCAAAGAAGTTCATGAAACAATTGCATACACAAAAGTATATCACTGATTAAAATGTCATATAAAGGAACTTTAACTATGGAGGGATGGCAAGAAACATAAGAGGACCCTAGGTCTTTCCCAATATCAACTGTATTTACTGCTTGCTATGTATGCAAGCATTCAGCATCTGAATAGGCAAAACATCTGTACCCTCCAATTTGAGTGCTAGATTCAAACACAGCTGGAGATCGGCTTTATGCTGTCTAACATAAGTTGTTCTGCATCCATTCAGCATTCCAGATGGTCAGTTTACCACACAATACTAAGCAAGTCACCTCCAGTAGTTAACATTTGAATGTACAATCCAGTCACACCCACAGTAGCAGACCTGGACTTAGAGGATGCGTGGAAATGAACTTCTGTAGACACAGTGCAGCACAATCACAATCACAATGACCGGACACTGGAAGATCCACTCCCCAGCCTGCCTTTTCCACCATGCCTCCTTCAGCATTCAAGCCAACACTTTATTTATCATTGGAGCAGAAGGAGGAATATCCTGCAGGGAATACTGGCAGGAGGTGGAGGATGACATGGTTGTGAAAAGCAGAGAGAATAAATAAACTAATCAACCAAGCAGCAGATTAGAAAAAGATCTTTGTAAGATCTAATTTAGATTAAACTATCCTTGCATACAGCTGGGGTTTAAGCTTAGAATGGCTTGTAGAGTTCAGAGGTAGCAAACACGGTAACTGGCAAAGCATTAAAATGCAAAACAGGAGATTGGAAGGTGCCTGTCCTACTACTCTGCCATAGTCGCAACCCAGTTTGTTTGATTGACTGGGTGCTGTCAGTTATCTTCTGAAAAAGAGCAAAGGAAGATACTTGAAAGAGGCAGCTAGGTTTGCGCGGGGGGGGGGGCAGGGGTGGTGGAGAGAGAGGACGGAGACGACATGGATTTGGTTTGGCTTCGTCTGTGCCTGCCTCTTTCGGCCCGTTTCCCAGAAGCATCTGGTGCATTTTCTACAAAGGCTGCAGCAGAATCTTCCAAACAAAAGCCGCATGAAAAGGAAAACTTGTTCCCTGAAATGGCACTCGCAATCTCCCTTTCCCTTCCCTCCTGCACCTTTTGCACACGGAAGAAGGAGAGTGACTGCAGCATCGCCGACCAACATCATCACGACTATCGCGATCACACCACCAGGAGGGAGACAGCAACAAAGAAACACCCAGCCTCCTCCTCCTCCTCTTGCCATCTTGATGCATATCTCTATCCACACATGCTGTACGTACATTATATGTACACACACACACACAGCCTGATCGGGTCTTGGCAACTCAGCGCGACGACTGCCCGCTGGCGAAAAAAGGCATCCTGCCCTCCTGCCCCCTTTGACATTGTGCGGGCGAATCCAGAGAACTGCAATGAAACGCAGCAGTGGGGCTGGTGCGGGCGGGGGGTGTGAACGTATGTCACGGTGTCCGGTTCAGCCGGGGGGGGGGGCGGGGGCGAGGAGAAAGGTCTCATCCAGCCGGAGATGCAGCTCCGGGGGTCGAGATCCGGAGCGAGCCTCCGTGCCTGCCGCAGGGCTCCCGCAAAGCGGCGGGCACAACACGCAGCGCGAACGGCTGAGCAAGCCCGGGCTCATGTTCCCTCTCCTCCCTTCCCCTCGCTTGCCGTGCCGCTGGCTTGGACGGACTCCGGCGCAACGCCGCCGCCGCCGCTGCCATTGTGCTGAGCCGAGGCAAAAGGAGCGAGAAGCGCGCCCGTCGGTCGCTTGTGAGTAAACAGGCACCGCACCGGGAAGCAGGCAGGCAGGTAGGCAGGTAGGTGCGGAGGGAGGGAGGAGGGAGGGGGATGGGGAGGAAGGCAGCCACTGAGAGCCATTTCCCCAGGGATCCACCGGGGATGACCAAGATTTCCAGGCTCCTTTGGAAACAGGTCTTTGGAGCTGTTATTGCTGCAGTAGGGGTGAGGGGGAGAAGAGAGAAGAAAAGGGGGAGGGGGAGGCGACAGGAGGAACAAGGCATTGCAATGGGACTGAGAGCAACAATCCAGAGACTTACCCCGGTGTCAAAGGCAGAGCGGCTCCTCCTAGCCCCTCTTTCGGGGTGTGCACGGGGCTCTCGCTGACGCCCCCTTTCCAAAAGGAAGGCCCCCACTTCTCCTTGCTTTGCCGCTCCTCCTCCTCCTAGCTCCGGCTTCTAGGCTAAAGGGATAATGGGAGGGGTGCTAGGGAGAGAGAGGCGTGGCTTTTTCATCAACGCAGGCGGGCGACCGGCGGAGGGAGGGAATGAAAGACAGCGGATTTCTCCGTCGCGTTTTACGCAGGCGCGTATGCCGAGGTGGTTTCCTTGCCCTTCCAGGAGAAGGCTCTCGCGTGTGCGCCTGCGCAGTCGAGAGCGCGCGGCTGCCCTGAGGAGTTTGTGAATGATCGGTGAGGAGGAGGCGGGGGTCTTTCTTCTGCGAGGGTCGCTTTCCGGTGTGTGGGGGGGAGTAGGAAGGAAAGGAGGAGGAGGAGGGAGGCTGCGGTGTTGTTGTGTGGCGTTATGATGCTGGGCTCAATGTGGGAAAAGCTGAGGGAATTGCAGGAAGGAGGCTAGGCCGAGCGAGCTGAAGTCCACCGTGGAGCCCGATTTCGTGCATATTTACGTGGAAGGAAGCCCGGGTGACTTTAGTGGGCCTTACTCGCAGGGGCATGCATAGTAGCTGCGCGACTTGGACTTGTGCATGTTAATTCGCAAGTAAGCTACTCAGAGTTGAGTGGGTCTTACAGCAAGATAACGTGTATTTAGAATTTCAACCTCAGTTTCCGGTCAACATGCTTTTCTTGCCGTCTTGTGCATGCTTTATAAATGCTTCCCTGTGTTGAGCGAGACGGATTCTTCACGAAATGTGCGCAACATCGTGCAGCTCTTCAGCACAGCCCTAAACATGCTTACTCACAAATAAAGCTGTTTGGTTTGTACAGGTCTGTTTCTCAAGTGTGTTTAGAATTGCAGCCTTAATCATTCCGAGGCAGCCTTTAAACCGCCCGGAGCTGTCTAGCTGCTTTGCACTTCAACTCCCGTCAACATATTATCATGGCTAATATTTAGGGTTTGATGGCAGTTGCAGTCCATAAAATATGGACAGCACCAGGTTGGAGAAGGTTGTACTAGGGTGATTAACAGTGTGGTCCTGTAAGTGTTTACTCATCAGTAAGTTCTGCAAGTTTTTGGTGAGGTTGTGCCCTTATACATAGGTCTGTAAGTAAGACCTTTGAACTGTGGAGGACTTGCTTTGGCTAAATGTGCTCAGTTTTAAAAGTCAAATCAGTCATGCTCAGACTTTCACAAATTCTGAGAAGCAGGTTCCCCTTTATTTACTTAACAACGAATTGTGCTTGTGTTCTCCAGCAACCACCATAGAAAGGCATGCTGCCTCTGATAATGGAGCTTATATATAGCCATCAAACTGGAAGCCATTGATAGGTTTCATCTTATCTGCCTGGTTGTCTTGCAAGTGTTAGATAAGAGGCTGAAAAGGTAAGGTTGGGGCAGATGTGAGGTGGGGCGAATGGGACATAGTACATGTTTAGGTGGACAAAATGAACTGCAGGATGGATGAGTGTTTTCTGCCACATGACTGTAAAAAGTGCGTGTCTAAAAATACACAACCAAAACTTTACATAAATTCTGAATTTAAAACTTGGTAAGAAAACTATAGGAACCTCCCCTGCAGTTGGTGAACATTTGCTAATGCCTGACTTGAATTTATTGAAAATGTGATCTGACAAGTCATTTGTCATTAACAACTAGCACAGAAAGGATAGTTGGTGGCCAAGTAGAATCAATGCAGTATTTTCAACTCAGCTGAGTTGCAGTCTAGTCTGTGAATGTCTTTCCTTGTTCTCAATAGAACTTACCTTTTAGTGAAGATTGTAGTCTGCATAGTTTGCCTAGGGGAATGTTGCATTGAGGTCTGGGACTTATTTCTGGAATGATACAGTTAGACTGCACATCCCCCTTGAACTCCAAGGAACTTGTATATGAGGAGGGTTATATGTAGCTACTTATCTGTGCATTGGGATGGGTGGAAGGTGTATTGGGAACTACTGGTAGATCAGGAAGGATGTCTGATTCCCAGGTATTTACCATTAGCCAGCAACAAAATGAATCCCCTGCTCCTCTAAATTATATTACTGACTTGATGAAAACTTTGGGTAGCAAAAGTGGGTTTTTAGGTGGAAGGACTGTGAACTCCATTTAGTTCTGGTACTCAAAACAAATCTCTAGGGATAGAATTCTTTAATTTTAAGCCTGTGCCTTTTATACCAGGCACCATTCAGTGGACTGCTGTGTTTTTATAAACATAGAACCCATAAGCCAGAAGTTTGCTCACTCCTGTTGTACACAAGCTTTAATTTGCACAATGCAATATGATTTGTATTTGTTAGCTAGATTTTCGTCCTGTGAGGCTTTGAAGGAACGCAAGTGGGCATACATGTCTATCCCTTCCCCCATGTTTTTTATCCACATAGCAACCCAGTAAGGCAGATTAGACTGAGAAATTGTGACTGGCCAAAGGTGACTACTTCCTTGCAGTAGGGGATTCGAACCCAGGCCTTCCCTTTCCTCCCCTAGCAGTTTTGCAAGGTTATTGTATTTGATCCCACAAATAGTGAAGGGGGTTATTAATGTCTGCTGGGGAACTCAGCTGAAACAGTGGCTTGGCAAAGGTACATATTAGCACTTCCAAAGCAGAGGTCACATTGGAAGCCAGTCCCAGAAATTCAGTTCACTGTGAACAATTAAGAAAGTAGTTTGAGGAAGCAGTTTGTAGACCCCTTGATGGCCTAAACCAATCTTTGTTCTGTGCTATTGGCTATTTTGGACTGCTGTGAAAAAGGCAAGCTGCATGGTAGGCGTAATTAGAAAATGAATCAAAAATAAAACTGCCAAGATTGTATTCCCCTTATACAAATCTTTGATGCGCTTACACTTAGAATACTATGCAGAGTTTCTTGTCACTTCACTTGGAAAAGGACATCATTGAGTTGGAAAAAGTGCAGAGAAGAGCAGTAAAATGATCAAGGGGTTGGAGCAATTCCCCTATGAGGAGCAGATTGAGACAACAGCTGAGATTGTTTAGCTTAGAAAAAGGGGGAGTATGGGGAGAGATGATAAAGGGGTACAGAGAAGTGTGCCATGGAGAAAGTGAATAGGAAGATATTTTTATCCCTCACAATATTAGCACCTGAAGCTGATTGGTGGGAGATCCAGAACAGATCAAATAATTCTTCACATAGCACATAGTTCAACTATGGAATTCACTTCCATAAGATGCAGTGGTGCTCACCAATTTGGATTACTTTAAAAAGAGATTAGATGAAACTATAATCTTGATGGCTATATGTTATTTCCAGATCTGAGACAGTATGCCTATGTAAACCAGTTGCTGGGGAACATGGGTGGGAAAGTGCTGTTGCATTCATCCCCTGTGTGTGGGATCTCATGGACAGCTGTGTGAACAGAATGCTGGACTGGATGTTCCCTTGCGCGGATCCATCTCTTAAGCTCTCATGCCGTGTCAGTAGACTTCTGCCCTGCTCTTTCACCATCTCTCTTAATTAACTTGGTACATTTATTTTGATTTATCTATAGAAGCTACCGCCAACCTGCATTCAGGTCTTGAGTTATTATTGGGGCCATGGTCTCAGTTTCATAAATAGAAGGGGTTTGATCCTGATTTAGTCATGCTGAAGTGCAGACCAGTGTAATCAAAGGCATTTAAGATAGCCATGATTGCCATGTCCCACTGATTTCAGTGGTTGTGCTTAATGTTCCCACTGATTTCAGTGGTTGTGCTTAATGTTTAACTAAATATGAGTCGAACCCCAGTCTGTGATCATGTCTGATCTTTCAGTTCTTCAAGTAGCCCTTTGAGATACACTGCAGTGGGTGGGATTCAATAATGTCCTCTCTGTAGAAGGTTCTGATCCAGCAGAAGAATTTGTGAGCAAAGGGGGCAAGCAGCCATAAATTTTGCAAGTCCTCCCTTCTTCTGCAGCTCTAGCCCGTGACCACTTCCGATGCTGTTTGAAAGCCCTAGGGAGCAAATTTACTTTGTGCGTTTCTGCAGAGAAGGAGAGCCAGTGAAAAGCTGAGATAACAACTTCATGAAGGCACATCATACTTCCATGGTCATTTCAATGCAGGATAGGATTTCTTTGCTCAAATTTCACAAATAAGGCTATGTTCCTGTGCATGCTTACTTGACTGCAATTCACATTAAATTCAGTAGACTTAATTCCGAAGAGACATGCACATGTGTAGGGCCTCTCCGGACACCAGAGCTGCTTTGTGGAATGCTGCAGATCACTCTGCAAAATGGGATCAATCTACCTTGTCCACCTGAATTACATTTTGAGAAAAAGAAAGTGAGTTGCTTGCCTAAAGCAGGAGACACCAGGGAGTACAGGCAGGATGAAATGGACAATGTATCTACACGGCCAACTCATGAAAAATGAAATAAAGACTGGAAATAGAACTGGATGTTCATTGGATTTTATGTTTCAAAAGTAGAGTTGCCATTACATGTTTCTTTGTTTCAGAAAAAGGATGATTGTAGCTGTAGTCCCGCATACCTGGAAGGCACTAGCCTGGGGAAGGCTGCAGTTGAACCTGGTCCAGTTATGCATGTTTAGGCAGGGAAAAGTCATCCAGCTTTTCCTAGTCAGGCATGCTGGCTGGGGAATGCTGGAGTTGTAGGAGTTTGTGGTCTAAATATGCATAGGATTGCAATCTAATGCCAATATTTAGTGCTATCTTTCATCTTAAGGCAGACAAAACTTTGTGGTTTTGGTCGCCAATTTTTCCTCTTTCCAGCCCCTTCAGCAGCATTCTGGAGAACATGGGAAATTACTTCATATACTGGACTCAGTAAAGGAATTCCTTGACTTTAGATTTTTAAGATGATTTTTTATGTTGACAGTGCTGACAACTGTATGAAAGTAGACCCTGAGGCATGACTAGCAAAAGGCTAAGTGAACCAACAAAATTGAGTTTTAAAGAGCCACTTTATACCTGGCATGCTCATGTGAAGAACTGACATGTTTACTTGAGCACTGTTGAAGTTATTTTCCTGGACATGGAAGAGGGCCTGCAACTTCCCACACATTCCCCTTCTCAAGTTTCACTGCACAAGGATACCCCCTGTATTGACACTTGTATTCCTGAGAGGGGTTAATCCTTGGGGCCTCCTCATTGCAGAGGGCATCGCACCACTACCAGAGTGGCCTCAGACTGGGTCCACTTGCAGTTTATCTTTGTAGCATGAGTTGCAGGTGGAGTTTGTCAGCATGGTTGGCTCATGTTTCCTGCTATACTTGTGCTCGCTAAAAGTTGCAGACTTGTCTGAAAGCGAAGGGTATATGGTTATGTTGTATAGGATGGGCAGGATTTGTGCTGCAGTTGTGCAAGATGGGAGTGGCCACCAGAAGGCCCTCTCTTGTGTTTACAGAGCCAGTGTGAAGTAGTGGTTAAGAGCATGAGTATGGCAGTCTGGGTCCTATTCCCCACTCAGCCATGGAGCCAACTGGGTGATTTTGGGCCAGTCACAGATTCTCAGCCCAACCTACCTCACAGGGTGGTTGTTGTGGGGATAAGATTGAGAGGAGGAGGAGGAGAATTATGGGAGCTGTCTTGAGTTTCTTGAAAGAAAATGTTGGGATTATAAAATGAGCTAACCTCCTCTTTCTGCAAGCTGTTCCCTCAAAATAGGACCTTAAGAGCTGGTGTGTGTGTGTTGGGGGCTTATATGGGAGAAAGTGGTCTTTCAGGTAGGTTGACCCCATGCCATACAGGATTTTATGGGTAGTAACCAGCAGTTTCTGGAAATAGACCACAAGCCAGTGATGCTATTTTATCAAGGGAGCTGCCTGTAACTGGACCTGGTTAATTGTCTGGCAGCAGCATTAGAAAAATGGCAAGTCAGAAGGGGTCTCCTGGGCCATCGTCTGACCCCTGGCTCCAGGCAGTTCCGCTCATGTAATAACCACCATGTGCTTATCCAATCTTTCCCTGAACACCCTCAGTGATGCCCCCCCCCACCTCCCGTGGAAGTCTCTTCCATATCCTAGGGTTCCTAACTATCAGGAAGTACTTCCTCACATCCAACCTGAAACCTGGTTCCCTGAGCTTTGCCCCATTGGGGTGTGTCCTTTCTTCTACTACAGGGGAGAACAGGTCACAATCCTCTACTGTGTGGCACCCCTTCACCTACCTGTATGTCACTATAAGATCCCCTCGGAGTCTCCTCTTCTCCATGCTGAAAAGACCCAGCTCCCTCAATCTCATCTCTTATGGCACCCCCCCCCAATTGTGTGCTCAAGTTGCAGAACAGTTTTTGAAGGTCACGGGATACAATTAAGGTGCATGTGTGACCATGGCCAGGTCAGATGTCTCTAGGAATGGGTGCAGTTGACACAGTAGGCTTAGCTGTGTTCAACACACTCTTAGCCTCACTCTTGGCTGCTTCCAAGACCTGGGCATTTGATTTGGCACCAGGTTCAAGAGTACACCCAGACTGCTGTCCTGACTCTTGAGAGGACATATAACGTCATAGAACACAACCGACCAAAAGTGCCTCTGTTTTGTCTGGATTAAGCTTCCACGTGTTTGCCTTCATCTAACCCATTACTGACATCAAGCTAGAAGGAAGTGGGAGGCCTCAGGTCCGCAAGGGTCCAGTCCGCATTCTTGGACTGTACAAATTGTAAACTTTTCACTATAACTGGACAAGCAGGAGCTAATGCTACATTCACTGAGTCTAAATCAAGTACAGCATCCAGGTTGGTGCACATAAATCAACTTAGGATCACAATGCTAACAAGTACTTTTTAAGTGAATAGGGTCATTTTAGTAAGATTCTTCAAACTGTGCACAAATAGCAGTTCCTGGTAATTAAATGATTCTTGTGTGTCCCTTGAAAGCATACAGTAGCCTTTCTCAACTCGTTGCCATTGGAGGTTTTTGACGTCAGCTCCCATCAGTCCCAGCCCACATGGCCAGTGGTGAGGATTGCTGTGAATTGTAGTCCAAAGCATCTGGAGGTCACCAGATTGGGGAAGGTGGTTATGCAATAAGAAAGAATTGGCAGGTGGGAAAGGTCTTTTCCTTGCCTCCTTGAGAGGAGCAAGGAATGGGAACCCTGCATGTCCGCCCAATGCCTGTTTTTGGATAACCTGTTTTTTTCTCCTTTGTATAGCTATTAAAAATTCAGGATGTGTTTAAGTCTAAATAATTTGTGCAAGATAGAAGACAATGGGGCAAAAGGATAACTGATTAATTCAAAGTATTTGAAAGGATTCTCCTTTTTGTTCTAAACAAAGTAGTCAGCAGAGGTCAGGTATACCAAGTGCAGCATAGAACTGGAACTGCATTGCGTGTGCTTGCCATGTATCACAACTGCAATTTTGTGAGCATTGTGAATACCCTCGTGTCAAAAATCAGTTTTCAGCATTTCAGCTGTACACATGAATATGAATCAGTTGTTGGTATCACAGTTATTTTTGATCAGCAGGTTTGAGGAAAAGAAGTGAAATGTCAGCCATCTGTCTGACAGAAATTAGTGAATCATGAATTATTGAACTATCAGAAGAATATATACAACAAAGCAGGAACATTCTTTTCTCAGCAGGTCTTGAATATTCTGTATCTTGTGCTCTATTTCTGATATTCAGAGGAGGGTGCCAGTGCAACAGCCATGCACAAGAGGGAGGTGTTGCCTGATGCAGGGAAGCCCAAGGCTTTTAGGAGCACAAAAAGTCTTCAGGGAAGAAAGTAATCAGGCAGCATCCCCCTTCGTCCAAAGCAACCCAGTGGAGACCGAGCATGCTGCCTGCTGGGGGATGAGACACATAGTCACAAAAACCATAGCGAGAACCACCTCATTGCTCCGGTCGGGCATTTCCTGGTTCACACCAAGAACTGTTTTGAGCCCCAGGGACGGAAGTGAGAGCTGTCCATATCAACTAACAGAGAAATCCAAGATTTTAATGTAGCTGAGGTTGGGCAGCAAATAAAGTGCCAAGAGCCAACAGCAAAATAAATGAAGAATTCCTGCCTTTCTAATTCACTTCCTTTTTTAAATAAAATAAGATAATAGCCCCACAAATACAAGTTTCAAAGCAGATACATTTCCTATTTCCCATAATGTAAGTTAGCAGGAACTGTGGTTGGGCAAGAGTGACTTAATGACTGCTCTGTAGTTTACAATGAAAACTGAGAATATCCACATTCAGGTTAGGCTGTGACAGTTTCATCAGACCCTGTGATGTTGTGCAAAGTGTAGGAGACCCCTCTTTTAGTTTAGAGGTTTGCCTGAAGCTGAGAGGGTAGTTTAGGGTAATTTATCGCAACATGGCTTTTCATCTACTGTTTCTATCCCTGATGTTACTTGTTGGACTGAGAGGCTAGTATACAACAGGCCTATAGAGGTTGTGCTGTCTGAACTGTTGCTTGGGACCTCCTTCCAGGCCAGAACAACATTTCAGTTGCCTGTAGAAGCCTCTTACTCATTGGAAAATATGTTTTTAAGAGATCTTTAGGAGAGTTGTTGCAGGTGATCACCAGATAGACATGGGCAAGAGAGAAGAGGGTGTATGTTTTTAAGTACATCATTGGAATGCAGATAATCGTGGTGCTTGAAAATTAAGAAGGAGGGACATTTAATTTATGTAAGGCCTTTTTAGTGGTCACTGCTCTCTAGTGGTGTGGTAACTTTGTGGTTACTGTGCTGATTGTGCCAAAAGCAGTTTTCCTGTGTGGGTCACTTTGAACCTGAAAGCTTTGCTGAGTGAACTGAGAGTGCCTGCAGATCTGTGGTTGCGTTAGACCTTTTGTTATCCTGTATCCAAACTGTGCAGCTAAATTCTATATATAATACCCAAAATAAATAGATGTGTGAAAATACAGTGCATCAACTTTTTATTCATAATGTGAAATGTGTTGTTTCCTAGCCTTTCAAAAAAAAGCTCAAAAAATGAAGTTGCAGAGAACCTGGCTTATAGTGACTTTGTCAAGTTGTATTTTTTCTAACTTGGACAACAACTGTCCAAAGAGAAGCTTTCGATGGCAGCATTCCCTAATATGGTTTTGGGTGCTGTAGTCCAACATGCCTGGGGGCTCCAGGTTGGGAAGGGCTGTGATGACTTTAAAGTGTCTACGGTTGAAGGAAAGTGAAGAGTTTGACTATAGTACACAGATTCAGCTCTTAGCTTGGTTAAAATGAAGTGAAGATGTTGTAGTTTTATGCATTATATTCATAAGAGTTCATATATGTTATACAAAATAATTTGTGGACAGACCATTCTGGCAGTTCTTATGATTTTATTCCAGAAATATTTATTTATTTAAAACATTCATATGCCGTCCAATTGTGCCACAGCACCTCTGGGTGATTCACGATCATGAGATAAAACACAATAAAAAACTAATTACAACACTTAAAAATACAATGTTAATAAAATACGGATAAAAATACAAAATACGTGAGAGCCAGTGTGGTGTAGTGGTTAAGAGCATGGGACTGGGACTCACATGATCTGGGTTCTAGTTCCCGCTCAGCCATGGAGCCAACTGGGTGACTTTGGGCCAGGCACAGACTCTCAGCCCGGCCTACCTCACAGGGTTGTTGTTGTGGGGATAAGATGGAGAAGGAGAATGATGTAAGCTGCCTTGAGCCCTTTGTAGGAAAAAGGCAGGATATAAATCGAAACATAAATAAATAAAGTAGCATTGGATGCTATCTAATTTTGAGCTGCCCCACTAGTTTTTATTGAATTTTAGGTATTTTTAAAGAAACAAATATGCCAAACAATATATAAATAAGACCTACAACTCCATTTAATCTCAGTGTTGATAGCAAACAGCTTTTAGCTCAGGCTGTTTTAAAATGTTTGTGGTTGCCTCCCTCTAAAGCAACTGCAAAGTAAATGAATACAAATGATGCCTCTTTTTTGCCTTTTGAATATTTCAGAACTAATTTATAGCAGCTAAATGTTTTGTTTTAGCAGAGCAATAGCTTGGGGGCTCTGTTCCCTCCATGCACAGGTATTCCCAAAATAGGAATAGTTATCAACTGGCAGTTGTTAGTGTAGGAGGATGCTTGCAGAGAGGATCTGTGTCCTTGAAGAAGAAAGCTGCACTGCAGTGTTTTCTTTTTAAAATACTGGACCATTCCGTTATGTGTAACTGACTTGCATCACTCTGTTCTAAGGAAGGGACATTGCCGTGCTTCACTATCAATACAAAGCATTCTTTTGAGGCAATTCGGGGGGGGGGGGGGGATAACATAATCCTCAACCCACCTCCCATAGGAATTGGTGGTACCTTTTAAAAACTGCCGCTGTAAATAACATTCTCTTGTTTCTTGTCCAGGCTTCTTGTCAGAATCTGGATGGCTCTTTTGAAAAGGTCTTTGGGGTTATTCCTACCCCAAATAAGTGGAGCAACAATTCATCGAAATTTCAGGTATTTATCGCAATGTGGTTAACAGAGCATAGTACAGAAGATGTCTTAACTTTTGAGTATATTTTGATTGCATTTCTTAAAGCAACATAAATCAGCAGGATGAAGCAAATGTAGCAGTCATATTCCATATTTTTATACCACACAGAATAATATTGTATGAATTTGTAGTATTGTTAAGGATACTCCAAATTCATCTTATTATTCAAAAGAAATATTCTAAAAGAATATGCAAAATAACCACTGAAAATCATTAGACCTTTATATATGTCTTGTCTTGCTATAATATGATTTGTTAACTATTCCCACGCAATTCCAATCTTGAGTAACCGGTCATTCATTACTAAACCAATTTCCACTTGGAGACTAATTCTATTCAAACAACAGTGAGCAGTTTTATCCCTGATTTCAATCACGTTGCTTCAATTGTTCACTTTCACAAATCCCAGTTTGTTAAGATCAGCATTTAGTTGACATTCTGTTATTAAGGTCTTCATGTTTTAGTTTGGTAGTTTTAAAGTGCAGTTCAGGTAGCAATCCAAAATATCCATCTTTGGGAACAAGTTCAATGCAACTTCTGAGTTGGACATGGCTAAGATAGCCCTATACAGCCCTATTTCAGAAAGCAAATGTTGGTGGTATGGAGGTATAATCCTTCTTTCCTAGTGTGCTATAGTCCTGACCCAAATCAGGACTGCACACTCCTACTCTGGAGGACGGAATAAGGGTAAGCCTCAGCTAGATGCTTCACAATCAATGTTATATTGAATTTGACCTTCATGCTTCTGTTAAAAGCACTAAAATAGGAACAAACACACACACACCCTTGCCAATTGAATGTATATATTTATGACTGCTCATCTGGTGACTGTCGTCTCTGTAGCAAAGAAATCTCTATAAGAAATGAAGCTAGAAAATATTGTAGGTGTTTATTTTAATCCCTCCTACAGTCTATATATAACTGTAGGACCGAACTTTGCAGTTTCATCTTATTTCTACATAATGAAGCACAAGGAAATAATTCTAGTGGGCAGGTTGTCTAATGCTTTCTTGTGGTATTGCAAAAGACCAAACTGTTCTCTTAGTTTCTTTGTGGTAAACCTGGAGTAGTGCCACTTTCTCCTACTAAAATAAAAACCTGGGGGAAAGACAGTAGAAACACCCAGTCAGGTTCAAGCTAGAGACTAGATGATGGCTACAGTAGTAGCTAACAGGAGAAATGGGATCAAAAGTGTGGTATTCTTATAAGTCTCCTTTAGGAGTGGTAGGTAGCATGAGAAGTAGAAGTCTTTGGAACACACTGCTGTCTTTTTCATTAAGGGCATGCAATTCAGAAAATGGTTATACATGCAAGTCCATTGAAATTAATGGGACTGTATACTACATACTGTGCAGGGTTGCATTCTTGTGATTTGTGTGACAGTGCTTGGAGTATGTATAAAGATCTGTCCTGTGAAGTTCAACCTGCAAGACTAAGGCTTGAATAATTTTCTTTTCCTTCTTCTCCATCTTCTGCTCTTAAAAAAACAGAAACAGGTAGTTTCAATTTCTGGCATCTCCCACTAAAAGGCTGTTGGGTAGTAGAGCAAGGAAACACCTCTCCCATTGGTCTTGTACAGCCACCACTAGTAACTGGAGTAGACAGTTCTAGGTTATTGGTCTGGTCTGACTCAGTAGTCCACTTCACGCTTTCAAGAGAATGCATGGACAGGACCGCGTAAACACAGACCCTGCATTAGCTGGGAGAGTTTGGGCAAACACAAATAGAGCTCCTGATCAGACCTTTCCAGTTCAGCACAGCAAGGCCTAACCAGAGGGAGCAGGGCCAATGCTCCTGGAGACGCAGGAGTGGGACCAGTGTACACGACCCCATTCACCAGTACATATTTTAAGCCCTGCCATGCTGCCTTGAATTCCTGAACAGGGCTAATATTCTGAGCTTCATGCACTCATAAAAATGCCCTTAAGTTCAGATGGGTACAGGTATGCACCCTTCCCCCTTTTGGCATTCAGTATGTAACTCTTCAGGTGTGCGGGGAGTACTTGTGCCAAATACTTCTTGTTCAAGAAGGGACAAAGACCCTTGACATTTGTTGTGCCTTTATTGTGTAATTAATGATTTGTGGAATGAGAGCACTCATGAGAGAAGAGCTGGCTCTTCGTGAGTATCTTGAGTGGGTGATGTAAACAGAGAGGGGAGCAGCCTTGAGGCCCCAGTTTTGCAACTGGAACTGGGGGCTGGGGCCAGGCAAGTGGCTTGGATGAATGGTTTGCACAGGTAGACATTTCCCAGGTTTCCCTACATAGCAAATGGATTTCTTGCCTGCCATTTTGTTTCAACATGTCACCCTTCATTAATATAATTATTCCATGTGGAGCTAAATCTCTGATTGGCAGTGGCTCTCCAGGTTTTCAGACAGGATACCTCCCTGGTCCTTATGTGGTGATGCTGAAGATTGAACCCAGGACCCTCTGCATACAGAGCATATGCTCTGGCAGCAGGTGCTCTCCTTGCTTTTCAGAATTACCATGTTTCCATTTTTACATTTGGCTTTCACTTAGGGATGCAGAGAGCAAGTTGGCAGCTTTGAGAAGCCTTTGTGCTTTACTTGTTCATGGGATGTAAACTCAAATATGCTGCCATTTTTGGCTCCATCCCTGTGGCTTCCAGCACCACTTTTAGAAGGTGGCTTCCAAGAGCTTCTCTGGAATGGATGTTGGGCTTCACCCTTAGGCTGAAAAGGGTTGAACACTTTTGCATTTCTAGCTACTGGAGTTCTGTTAATCCAGTTATTTAGGAAAATAAAGAATGGCCACTTTAAAAAAAGATCATAAATGAATTGCTTCTGAGAAATAGAAGAATGAATACCTTTACTAAAAAATATTAACAATTATATTTACTTGTGGATTACAAAAATAGGCAAAATTTTGAGCAGAGAAGCCATTTCCAAATTCTCCTTAATTCCACTGAGTGTCAGGTAATGTGACTTAAACTATCTTGCTCATCTTCAACAAAACTCTGTCATTTCACGTAAAACAGCATGCCACAAAACTAAAACTGGGCAACCCTTAGGTCACATATGGCTCTCAGAGTTGGCCTGTGCCATTCACTGCAGATGAATATTGGCTCTGTGATGCTGCCGCCACCACCCTTTTCCAAATGGCCTGCTGTGGGGCTGACTGGGAAAGAGGGTATGTGAGGAAGATCACTGAAGGATCTTCCAGGGTGCTTCTCTGGAAAAAAAATGACACTTTAGTCACATTTCATGTTAACCATTGTGCAATTTGCCTGGTAAACAGCTTGGAATCCTTTTGGGAATATCAGTCCGATTGTATATACTTTTACTCAGAAGTAAACCCCTTGAATTCAGTGGGATTGTTAAGTGCACAAAGGATTATAGTCTCATTCTCATTGGCCAGATTGTCTTTATACAAGTCTTTCACCCTAGGGGAAAAGGGTGGAAAAACCTGTCAGACCAGTATCTAATCAGCATCAGCTTTCTGTGTGAAATCAGCCCTCAGTGTGGAAATGGCTAGCTATGTACTTTTTTCCCTGTCTGATCTCCTTTCATCCTAGAATATGTCCCAGAATCTGCAACATGCTTGAGTTCCTCAGCAGATCAGCTTATGTGGAAAGGTTCCCGGAAAGGCAGTTGTTTGAAAAACACTTTGCTGCATTCAGTCACCTGCACTTTGATCCCTACCTGCCCTGATTTACATTTACCGAAATTCGTTCTTTGGTAAAATGCTGATTTTAAACTTCCAATTATGTTTTGAAGGCAAGGGAGGTCACTGTGATGCCATAAGGTTCTTAACTGGGCCTGTGACTCTTGGGTGAACCCTGGTGATATGTCTCACATTCTTACTTATCTTTTGGCAGTGTCAGCGGGGCGCCCTGTGCAATACAGAAGATGACAAGTGTGCGAGTGGTAGATAACAGTGCCTTGGGAAACACCCCCTATCACCGTCCCCCGAAATGTATCCACGTGTACAACAAAAGTGGTGTGGGCAAAGTAGGTGACAAAATTCTTCTGGCTATAAAAGGAGAAAAGAGGAAGGCCTTAATCGTTGGCCACAAGATGCCTGGTCCTTGCATGACTCCCAGGTTTGATTCAAACAACGTGGTGCTCATTGAAGATAATGGGAACCCCATAGGGACAAGGATTAAAACCCCAATACCTTCTCTGCTGAGGAAGCGGCAAGAATTCTCAAAAGTGTTAGCCATTGCCCAGAACTTTGTGTGACAAGCAAGAGAAAGTCCTGCAGGATTCTTCAGAGTAGTACCTTTTCTCCTGCTGATATCTGAAGAAAAATACTTTACAAAAATAGTCTTTGTACCTTCATGTGAATTGGATACCTCTTTTTGTGATTTTGTTTTGAAGAACTTCTTGTTGCTCTTTCTGTAAAAATTATTCTGACTGTATCATTAAAGCTCAGAGTGTTGATCCACCATTTTATTTTGCATTATTTGTGTCTTGGACGGTGGGCTTTAGTAAAGTGGGGAGAGAGAAACAGAGCATATGATATGGCTCACTCTGTGGGGTAAGGAAGGACAGTCATATGAGGCCTTGAATGCTGATGTGCTGTGTTAATCTCTAATTAGTCACTTCGGTGTTTTCCTGTTTTCTGAAACTTTTGTTGAAACATACTGTTCAGAGAAGTCTTGTTTAGGCTCTGACTAGCAAAAAGTAACTTGCCAAAATGCAAAAATAGTTGTACCACAAAACTCTGGTGCCTTGGTTTTAATTTTAAAAAAGGAAATTGAGAAAAAAAGACAAACAATATTGCTTTTCCAATTTCCCAATTTTCTGGCTTTGCCACAAAAATAGCATTACCTCTTTAGTAGCCAAGAGATTCCTCACTGGGTTAAGAATTTTCTCCCCTTTTTATTTTGTCTTCCAAGTCATGGAAAATAATCCAGCATGCCTCTCAATAGCAGTTGCTCAGGAACATACCCAGGAGAGAGCTACACTCTCCTATTTTCCTTGAGATCTGCATGTGTGGTATCTCATTGGCCACTGTGGGAACAGTATGCTTTCCTAAGTAGGCCTTTTGTCTGAGCTAGCCCAGCTCTTCTTACATTTGTATGCCTTTCACATCTCCAGTCCTTCCTATATAGTTCCAGATTTGATACTGAGAGCAGAATAAATTAGTAATAACAGGTGCATGCAGATATAACATGCGCACTTCTGACTGTAGAACCTGGGCTGCCTTACTGAAGAATGATGGGTTTTCGGGATGTGTGAATATACCAGGCCTTGGGAGGTGGCATTACTTTTGACTCAACAGATAGTGTCTAGAGAAAGTTAAGCACATGCATCCTGTGGGCTTCAGTGGCGTATAAATATGCTTAGTTTTTTCAACATTCTCATGAAATTTTTAGAATAAATTCAGCGCATGCTGTTAACAAACCTCTCATACAGAGAAATAACATTTAAGTATAATAATTATTCCCTAGTAGTGATGGGATTTTGTATAGTGTCTTAGAAGGCTTATTTTATTTTTACATTTGTATTCCACCTTTCGTTGTGGAATTCAGGGAAGGGCAGATGGATTTCCCAGTAGTCTCCCCTCTAAGCACTGAACGGACCCAAACTTTCATAGCTTCAGCAAGCTGGATGCCTCATGTACCTTCAGACCATGGAAGAGAGAATTAAAATGTGTTTAGATATTAGGAAAAAACTACTGTGAGGGACGGTATCCTATCGTCTAGAGGCAAGAAGTGAGAATAAAAAAAGCAAGTCCAATTGTTCCAGATGGTTTTCTTCCCTTGCTGCGCCATCTGGTGGTGATCTATGGGATATATACAAATCCATGTTACTCATTTTCTGTGTGCTGCCTGTGTAAAGGTGCCCACCTTTGTCTGTTGAGAGCAACACCTTGTATTTTTTAAGTGCAAGTACTGTGCCAATATTCTTAATAGACAGAATCTTGCAATAATTATCTGAGCATGCAGTGCAAACACCCATTTAGAAGAGATACGTTCATGTGAACCAACAATCTGTCCACACTGCATAAATTGCACATGTGTGGAATATAAATGTGAACCTTCCCAATGAAACAATGAGAACATTTCCCTTTTACTTAGCTATACAGGAATGGCATGTGCTTTCGCTGTTTTCATTTGTTCTTGTAACCAGCGTGCTGCTTCCTATTTCGAGCCACTTGCAAAGCCTGACATGGATGGAATTCTCTCCTAAGATCAGAATGTTACAGTTAATAGTGACCAAGCCTACGAGGTAGGCTGACTTCTCTTGCTGAGCTCTAATGCTGTGTGCTTTACTCCAGATCATGGTGCAGCTATGAAAGCACTGATCAATCATTCCCTCTGAACCTTGTTGTTGTTAGTCATGAAGTCATGTCCAACCCATCGCGACCCCATGGACAACATTCCTCCAGGCCCTCCTGTCCTCCACCATCCCCTGGAGTCCACTCAAGCTCACACCAACTGCTTCAGTGACTCCATCTAGCCACCTCATCCTCTGCCGTCCCCTTCTTCTTTTGCCATCAATTGTTCCCAGCATTA